CCTCACATCCATAGTCCATCGATCCGAACAACAATATCCCTCAGTGCTGAGGCATCTTCTGCTGTTTTGGTTGAGCAAAGTAGGAGGGACGACCGCTCCAAGATGGCCGCCGTATATCCTGCGCCGGAGCGGCCAATGTAGGGTCTTCTCTTATGTCTATGCTGAGCACGCTCTCTGTCATGTGTGACGTTTTGCGCCCTCTACTGCGCATGCGAGTTCGCAGTTCACACTGGAGATCACATACAGGTCGCATATATTTGGAAGTGTGGTGTGAACCACAACTGCCACGCCAAATAAATGCGATTTGACAAAAATTTGGATTTGGGTCTCTTCAGGCTGCAGTGTGAACGTAGCTTTTGTTTATATTGTGCAAATCCACTACAAATATTGTCTTACTGCACTACAAAAAAGTTGTTTTAATTTAATCACACATACATTCCTATTATTCCTGGTTATCAATCAGTACAGTATGCTCAATTAATTATTCAAAGTTTTTATCTAAGGAAACCCAACAGATCAAAAATCTGGAACTGCTGTTTTGTTCAGTTTGTCTATGTCGATGTGCGTCTGTCCCTATCAAATAAACTTGATAGGGGCAAGTTTATTTGATAGTGTACATTTATTGTTCCTTCTCTTAAAAGGTTACAACTTGAGGAAACTTATACTTTCTTTCTTTGTATCCATTTGTAATTACCTGATAGGGTATGTCTCATTCTTTCTGCGCTTCTTCTCCTCGTCTGGAACGCGTTCCCATCCAAACTTGAGTCTCCAATCAAAATTTCCTCGGCTGTAGTTTTGCAGTTCAGGCACTGGTTTGTGAAACCTCAGGCTGTGATTATCGATCGACGTGATTCTTGGGCTCACCACGGCTCTGGGCTCTTCAGCTATTCGAGCCAGAAGAGGCTCCAGCCAGCCAGGGAAACATTCACCTGTGAAATAAAAAGAAAACTGAAACATTTTTTCACTAGCTGGAAGCTATTAGCTATTATATGGAATACTGCTGCATAGAAATACTATTGCAATAACCAAACACATTGCTAAGCCAAACATTTGTCCTCTGCATGTAAAAAAACAACAAAACTACAAACTCACAGTGGGAATCTAGGAAGGTGAGGACCTCCCCCTGTGCAGCCTGAGCCCCCATCAGCCTGGCTGTGATCAGGCCTTTTCTCTCCTTCTGACGCAGGACTCGCACTATTCGCAGCCCCTGCACATATTCATCCAGTGGAGTCTTTAAGAGATCTGAGGACATAAATACAAAATTAGAGCTGAAGGAGGGCAAATGTTAATAATGAAATCTGGCATTTTGCATGCCTTTATATTGGAGTTACATTGAAGTTCGAGGGGTTGTGATTTACTGCATATTTGCACTTTGAATACAGATAAATGTTATGAACACTTAAATTTAATACTTATTCAGATTTTTAATTGAAATGTCTAAATGTAATTAACACAATATATCACAGATTAATTTGATATTGTAAAAAGAAAAAAATCTCAGATTTAAGGTAAAATACTGGTAGCTGTGGTTGCCAAAAAATTACCATATAAATACAGATTTACAGCTTCCAGTATTTTGCCTTATATTAGAGACTTTTTAAACAGTGTACTTAGTGGGCGAATGCATTGTGATAACTTTTCCCACTGAATTTTGGGGCAACACCCAGAGGCAGTCCTATCCCCCACAAGATGGCGCCCTGGGCCGTTGCCCAAGTCGCAGAAACTGCCACTGGCAACACCAGCCACATCTCGTCTAATCTCTTCTTAAAAATTTTAAAATTCAAAACATTTTTGTCTTTTTTTCTGTCTCCATTGACACATGGTGGCACAGTTGGTTCGACACAAAGAGGTCTTGGGTTCAAATCCTGGCCTGGGGTCGTCCTGCATATCCTCTGTTCTCTGAATGCTCTGGTTTCCTCTCAGTAAACCAGAGCAATACCCGAGTCAGTTTCTAAAAACTGACTCGGGCATTAGCATGTATGTACATAGTTTTCTCTCCTTACGATGGACAGGTGACATAATTGGCATCGCCTCTTATTGAAAGATTGCTGGAGACAGGCGCCAGTCTCACCCTTTCAAACTAAGCAGGTAACAACAAAGGGTGGATGGATGCTGAGTTTCCACAGTTGGAGTCTTAGGTTCACGTTCAGATGGTTGAGTTCCTGTGAAGTTTTAATCACCAGCTGCAGAAAAATACCTCAGCTGGCTGCAAAAACCTCATACAAGCTAGTAAGTGTTCCAGTAAGCAGGCCTTTCTGAAGAGGTAAACGATAAACTAGATCTTTTCTTAATTATGAAACAGACTCTTAGTTTTGTCAGCTTTGAGTCTTGATGGAAATTTTTCTGAATGAATTTTCCCCTAGAAGTACATTTATGAATACATAAAGACGGCAGCAGGATATTAAACACAAATTCCATCTTAAGCAACAAGACACTTAAGTACTTTACCGTTTGTAAAAGATTAGGTTTTAATAATAAACAGAGCATAATTTTCCAGATAACCTTTCACTTTGGACCTTATTATGGATGTGATGAGTCATGCATTTAGTCGTCATAGTGGCTATCAGCATGATAAAGACACTAATACTGTAATTAACTGTACAGTGTTAAAGCAGAACAAATGAGGACAAATTCCTTCCCTACTTCCACATTGTACACCAACTCAATGCAGAAGCAGTAAATTTCAGTTTTCATCATGTTTTGTTCTCTGAAATATGAGAGTACTTTCTGAAGAAATGATATACATCCAATGCCTTGCAAAATTATTCATGCCCCTTCAAGATCAATAATCTCCTTTCAGATTATGTGGTTAGTTAGATCTTGGTAGGTTTGCAGTTATGTTCTTTCCATTTTCAGGTCATCGATGAAAAGTGTTTAGGAAAAGCTCCACAGTTTTATCCCCAAGTTGTCTGCTGTGATCCTTGGTCTTCATTACTTTTATGTATTTATTTTATTTTTGTTTTCTTCATTCAGCTGTTTGTTCACCAAACTTCTGAAACCTTCACTGATCAACCAGATTTAAAGTGAGGTTGACTCAAACACAAGTGAAATCTATTCACTCACTCTGTGATTTTTGGAGGCAATTAACACTTTTAGTGAAGGGAACCATAAAAATAGAAAAAGAACCCCATAAAGTATGTATCATTTACCTTAGATTCAATAGTTATCTGCTTCTTTGGGATGGTATTTCTCATAAAATCCCAAATAAATACATATAAGTTTTTGTTTCCCTCATGAAAAGGAAAGTTGAGGAGTTGTGAATACTTTCTCTAGGACACTATATATGTGAAAGCATTAAGATGTAACATTAACTATCAGTGATCTCACTCACCATCTGTACTGGCGTCGTCCACCAGTAAGATCTCTGTGAGCAGAGCAGCAGGAGCCGTGTGGAGGACGCTGTAGACCGTCCTGAGCAGAGTGGACCAGGCCTCGTTGTGAAACACTATTATCACGCTGGTGGTTGGAAGGCCGGGACATCTCAAAAACTTCTGCTTCAGGCAGCTGTCAGAGCCAGACTGGAAGTTAAGAGGCAGCTTTTAAACAACGCATAGATTTATCTCTTGCCTGCAGGGTGATGTCGCCAAGAAACGATGTTCTCCTGAGATAAACTCACTCTGGAGGCCGTGTGTCCTTTCCCAGATCCCGGTGCAGAGAGATGCGATCGCTGGCAAACTGGTTGAACTGGTTTTTCTTAAAACCACTTGATTCCTCTTTCTGTTCCTCAGCAGTCATAGAGCGCCACACGAATGGCTTGCCGCCTGCTCCCGGTTCCCAGCGATTTTGGTAAGGCCTCTGAAGGTGAGGCCTGAACTCCTGCTTGCTGTAAAATCCAGGAGGACATTTGTGGACAGAGGAATCTGTAAACCTGGTGGTCTGGACAGGGATGGATCCTCTGAGTTTCCCCACATTTCCCTTGGGAAGTCGAGGGGAATGTGGCGTTGTTGTGTAGTTCATGTAGAAGAGCATAATAAAAGACAAACACAGAAAACTGGAGAATGCTATCTTCACTGAGCGTTTGTGTCGAAGCAAATAAAAATGCATGATATTCAGAGAGCGATGGGGACCTGAGAAGAGAAAAATAAACAAAACGCAACATTATAGACAACAAAAAAATTATTTTAAATAGTTATTTCACCAGATCAACAGCTGCAGTCTGGAAAACCCTCTCTACGTCATGCTTGGAAAAACTAATTCCTTTATTTGAAGATATTTGACTATTCATAAAGTTATTGTTGTCTTATTTAAACAGTAATACAATGACAGAATGAGGTAACTAATTCAACAAGACATAAATAAAACACTAAGAAAGTCCTGCCCAAGCATTGGTGTAATCATTTGTTGGAAGATCCTTCATTCATTTACAAATATAGTTTGAAAAGTAATAACTTTAGCAAACCTGTGTTTCTGAGCTAGTTAACCAACAACACTGTCTTTATTAAATGAGAAAAGTACTTACTTTTTGCTGTAATTTTTCTCTGTGTTGTCCTGTTTGCCTCCCACGTCTTACAGAGACCGACAATGAAGTGCACAGGTGCTCAGCTGGATCAGTGTGCATCAAGGACCCTTTGCAACCGCTCAGACCGGTTAAAAACATCTGACTCAGTCAAGCAGCTGCGGTGAGACTGCCAAGAAGTATGTTCTTTATTCCTGGTTTCACTTCGGCTGAGTTATTTTTAACTTCCATTTTACTTTTAAGTTGCATTTCTTGTGGGATCACATTTATCTACTTAGGAGAGGAATGAGAGTTAAGAGCACCTTCTGCAGGATTTCTCAGTAAATGTTTGAGGTAAACGGCAGAATAAAAGAAAAAACAATAATACAAACCAATCCATTGTTAACTAATCAAGCCATGATGATTTTTTCAAACTTACAAAGGTTAATCCATAAATCAAAGTGACTCCAGTGTTTGATAAGCAGGACGGAGCTCAGCCAAAAATTACTAATCATTATCATAAATTGAAAACATGTTTGTCAGATAAAAAGCTAAGTTTAATTCAAACAAAAGGGAACAACATAGTTTCTACATTTCTAATATTGTTTAAGAGGTAGTTTATCTGGAGTTTACATCTCCTTTCTGGGTTCATCTCTGCCGCTTCCTCCAACAGTCGAAAGAGAAACACAATTGAGCCATTCTGCAGATTTGATTGTGTTCATGCATGACTGTCTGTTATGTGTTTTGGTATTATGTGGGTATCTGTGTTGCTAATAAGATAGAGCAGTGTTTCTCAACCCTGGTCCTCACCTCCCTCCTGTCTCTGCATATTTTAGGTATTTCCCTTCTGCCACACACCTGAATTGTATCTCTGGGTGATTAACAGGTTTCTGCAGCACTTGGTGGTCATGCAATCATTTGAATCAGCTGTTCTGTAATAGAGGCACATCTAAGGCATGCAGAGCAGGGAGGCAGTGAGGACCAGGGTTGAGAAATACTGAGTTAGAGTGACGACTTGTCCAGTCAGGATGCACCAGTTCTCCCACCCAGTGACAGAACTGGAGTAAGGTCTTGACTCTGGCAATCTTAAACAGACTTAAACTGTAAATGTAATGTTGCAGATAATAATAATAATAATAATAATAATAATAATAATAATAGGTTGAAAGTTTGGAAGTAAAGGCTAGTAAACACAACATTTGGAAGAAACTTTATGTTTTATTGCACAGTGGCTCTCTTAAAAATCTGTATAACTTTAATGGGGTTTTAGGATGTATTTACTGCATGAGCAGGAATTCATTGATGTGCAGCACTTTCCTTAATCTACCTGTTAACAATAGAGAAGAAAGGATTAGGTTTTTAAACTAACAAGAATAGTGTAAGAGTGAAAATTGGAGTTATGAAAGCAGCACAACTGCATTACAAAAGCAAAAAAAAATATATATATATCCTCTTGTATATTTGTCATGCAAATTAATTAATTAATTAATTAATTAATTAAGCCAGATAATGAAAAAGCAAAGTCTCGGCAAGAAAACAATATTCAATGTATTAGTATTTTAAGTGAGTCTTTTGCATATTGCAGTTAGTTATCTAGATAGATAGATAGATAGATAGATAGATAGATAGATAGATAGATAGATAGAATCTACTGTCGTTCGTCGCTTAATGAGGGCGGGGTTTGTTGCCAAGGTAACACGTAAACAAAGCTATAGTTATTTTTGAAAGCTAGGTGTTGTGAACAGGACGTCGACTGGATAAAGGATCCGTAACGCATATGGCTTTCTTCGGCTTGACCCAGCTGGGTTATCAAAACCCAATCGGTGATAATATGCTCATAAATCCCCGGGGAGTCCCTCCGTCTCAAGGTGAGAGGAAGCTAGGCTAAGCCTTAGCTGCGCTGAACTCTACATTTATCATGGCTGCTGCAACCTCTGTCAAAGCAGACCTCAGCATTCAGTTAAAACGTTTTGTAATTAAGTTTTTTTTTAAAAGTGCAGAAATTTATTTAAAAGTTAAAACTAGTGTCAAACTCCAGTGCCATAATAATTAGACAGACATGAATTTTAAAAAACATAAATAGAATAAATAAACATAGAAGTACTTTACTGATTAAATAATTCAATGTTTTATACTGATTGAGTAGAACATAAAAATCTGAGTTCAGCAAATTGTCCTTGTAGTACGTAAAAACACTTTTAAATGATTTTTAAGGGAAAAAAAGCTTAAGAGCTAAGTCACTGTAATGATTGGCTTCATCTGTTGAAACATATCTGCTTTTAGATGACTGTTTTAATGTCAGGAAAGAATTTCAGTCATTGGCTAAAGAACAAGGACCCGTCATAAATAAAGAAGTGACCAAAGTACGACTGCAGCCTCCTTGCTACAGCGATGAGGATCATAAAGGGAGTCATGAGCGATACGCAGAAATGGTGAAAAAGGCTCAACCACCCAGGCGTAAGCTAGCACACTTTAAAATATGGGTTCCTGTAGAAGTTTGTAACAAAAACTAAAAGCCTCTTCTGTCCTCCAGTCCCCAACCAGCTGTATGTAAAGCCTCTGACAGAAAACCAGCAGTATGGATGGATGAGACACATGAGCTTTGAACCGTGGACCCAGTGCCAAAAGTTTCCTCGAAAATCCAGCGAGATGACAAGGTGAGTATCATAACACATAAATACATTTTTCCACCAGTCTGGGCCTCTGTCGGTATAATCCATCTGTTGTTTTCCCAGGTTCGTTGGTACAATGATCTTGACACACCGAGACTTCTGCCTGTTCTGAGCTCCCTCATGTTTTGGCTTCATGAAGTAGAAGCATGCACAAAAAAAACAACAAAAAGCCTGCAACTTTTTGACTCTTCAACCTTATTTTAATGAATCAAATTTAATTGCTTTGTTGTTCCTATGGGTTTTCTCTTTTTATATTTAGGTGTTTGTATGTGTGCATGTAACCTTTGTTTAACTGGGTTTACCTCATTGAGATAATCAAAAGTACAAATCAAAAGTACAAAATGTGGCCTTAAATACATATATTTAACAAATAATTGCTCAAACGAATGAATATTGTACACTATTTTAATTGTGTACTATAAGACGTGCTACAACAGTACTCTGTTAAATCTCTAATAAATACAAAATGTACATGCTGGTGACAATATTCTAAAAAGTTGAGCTGTATAAAGAGCTCAAGAAATTCAGATAACATGAGCAATTATGTTTTCTTTTGCGTTGGGATTAATAAAGTATTTATCAACTGAAAATTCAGAAAAATTATGAATGCTAGACGGAGGTGAAAGCATCTCCAAAGCTTCAGTCCTACTCAATGTGATCCGAGAAAGGAACGGCGGTGAATCGACAGCATTGTTTCAAATAGGGAACAAAATTATGGATTTTGTGGTCTGATCTGACATATTACAGCTTACACTGCTAAAAAAATTGTAGACCTTTCAATATGGAAACAGTATTCCCTGATGAGGTGGTCATAATGTTATGACTGATCAGTGTATTTTTTTGTATATATTCTTGATGTTTTAACACCGATTCTCTGTAGGCTTTAGTGGCACTAGTGACCCCTAGAGGAAAGTCGGGTTAATTACAAGAAAAATAAAAAATAAAATCGTGGTTTTGTGCAAAACTTTGGATGCCCGTTTCTGCCACTCTGTTAAAAAATAAAGAAATTATCTCATTCTAATGAGATAGTATCTCAAAATACTGAGATAATTTATTTATTTTTATTTTTTTGCAAAGTGGTGGAAATGGGCTAAACCTGCATAAAATGGAAAAATGGGAGTTATATTAAATATTGTAACAAAGTGCTTTTTTAATAAAAATTATATACACAATAAAGGAAATATTGTATTTCTCAGGGAAGCCAGAAGAGTTTGAATCATTGCAGCTACACTTGATTCCTCGTAATGTTTCTAACATAAATGATGCAGCTTAATCGAAGTTTCTATGATGAAGTAAACTTAAGGAAAGCACTTTTTTATTTTAATAAACAGATTTTTAATATTTCATAATTGAGTTTAGATATATTTTCACTTAGTGAATTTACTTACTTTTTCTAAAGTGTTTAATAACTATTGGACAAAACTTTTTTAATTATAATGCAAACTTATTTTGTAGTTTTTAGTTGTAGAAATAAAAAAAATTGGAACTAGAAATTTTATGTACAGCAATCAATATGTTAAAAAACACTAACGGAGAAAAAAATGTACTTTTTTTACATTTTATTTTTTTCTTCAAGGGGAAATGTTATTTTTCTCTTTGTCATAGTCTTCAACTCTTCTTTTCAACTGAGCAAAACACTCCCCCTTCAACTCCTCCAACTCAGGTAAAATACGAACAAAAAAAAAGAAGAAGAAAACAAACCAGAAGGATTCATCGGGCCTGAGCAAAAACACTGTTTCAGTAGTATGGGGAACACATTCCTCCCGGCTCCCGTTTCCCCTGAAAGCATCCCAAGAGTTAACAATCAACACAAGTCCATGGACAGCTAGTAGAAATAGAATAAATACAATGAACATCTTTATGAACTCATGTCCATTCTATAAACTCTCCGCTTTAGGCTCGTCATTGGTCACAGTTTGTGTGAGAGTTGGTGATCTCGGTTGCGTCTCCAACACACCCAGGCCTCCGTTGCACAGGAGAGACCAGTAGCACAAGACTGCTTGAGCTGGCTTTGGTACAAACGAGATCAACTGTTTGCTGCTGGAGACAACGAGGACGCTGCGTTGGCGGTGAAACGGTTGGCTAAAATAACTCTCAAAAAGCCCTTCTTCATTTTTGACTCATGTCAGCGGACCAGGCAGGGTAAGCAGACACGTTTTTAAAAAGTTACAGCTTCCGCTCAAACTTTAAACAATTGAGTAGCACTGGTGTTGCTCTCCCACCTCTTGCTCCTCAATAATGCAAGACAAATTTGGCAGTTTGGAAATATTTCTGGTCATAAAAAACATCGACGATGCTGATGTGGAAACTAAACATGCGCCACGTTTTGCCCTCATTAAGGCAACTCTGCACACAAAGTACAACCAGCAAGCTAAAAGTGTCTGTAAAGCAGCTGGACAATAGAATAACTAACCAGCTAATATCATTTAGTTGTTTTTGTGGTTCTCCATAAAGAGCAAAAACAATCAAATGAATAGCATTCTGCTCAATAAGCATTGAAAACTACAGCTAAATTTTGCAGGCGTTTATTGCATATTTTTTTACTTACGTTTATGCATCAAATGTGTCAAAACAACAACAACAAAAAAAAAACATATAATGTTCTGGGTAACATTATTATAACTGTAATAATCAATATATTATTTAAGTAGCAGTAATATTTTTGTATTTCTATTCTCAGTTTTTATGAAAATGTTACATTGTGAAATCGTTGCTGAAGGTTATCATGCTCGTCTAAAACCATTTATAGATGCATGTAGAAGGTCAATTGTTTCACATTGAGAGAAATAAAGAAAAATACAGAGAATAATAGCTCTGTAAAAAAACCCTCAGAATATTAAATTACAATATTAATTATTTTTTTTCATGTCAAATGGGGGAAGACTGTCGAGGATAAAATGTGGATAATAATGCAGATTGCCACATAATTCTTCAGCAAAGGCAAATCAACTGAGGAGCCAAAGTACTAATTGTTTTGGTCTTGCTTCATGATTCCATAAATATCTATATTTTGTGTAAATGAACAGATGAACCGCTAATTTTAATGACTGTTGCATATTTTACTACAACAGTCATCATGAGTTTTTAGTTCATGACTCCATATTTGTTTCTTCAACTCTGAGTAATTACATGTTTGTTTGTT